TCTCATTTGCATATCTGTGCCAAGAATATTTTCTAAAGGGAAAGAAAGCTGTCGCGGAATAAATGCAAAGACTGAAGAACACACAGCTGCGGGACTGCCCCCCGCCTGGGTGCTTTGTGTACCTTGGCACATTGGAAAGAGAATATTTCAAAGCCCAGAGCTTGAGTATCAGGTTTTATTTAGCTCCCACTCAACTAATTATGGTTCACCTTGGAAAATTCTGGAAAAATGTAGAAGACAACTACTTGCTTGGTTAAAACATAGGCGGGCACTGGATTTTCTACTAGAAAAATTTTGCAGAATCCATGAACCTTTTAGTGCTTATTTACAGAAAGGGAAGGACTTGCTTTTCTATTGAGGGAACGTGAAAGGTGTCATTCTGTACTCCTTGGTTTCAAATTGTTAAACAGATCATGCTAACATGCAACTTCCCTTTGCTCTCGTTTCCCCCTTTCCATCTCTTTCTCTTTCCTTGGAGACTGTAAGGGGGCTTATGACTAGACTGATAACAATGGAGAAAAAGAGGAGATGGGTTCTCTCGGGATTCTGACTCGGTGGCTGATTTGTGCTGGAAGGTGCTTTCCTGGTCAGCCTGAGTCACTGTGTAAACCTGAGCATGTCCCAGGGGCAGGAGGTGCAGGAGTCAATGGCATCACGGCTCCTTCCAGGACAAGAAAGAAAGGAAGGTTCTCTGGGAACCTTACACCCTGAGTCCTTGGCCGAGGAGGGATCCTCCCACGTGGGAACTTCCAGCAGGGTTCTAGGTCCGGGACCTGAACGAGCAACCCCCACTTTAATACACATGGCCTTATTCAACCACAAGGACTGCATGTGAAAGGGAAACAGATCCTTCCAAGAGGCATGAAAAGACTCATACTTCCAGATATTTCCTGTTAAAAAATATTTTTCTTTCTTAATATAGAATCTGGGTAGTGTAGATAGATGGATCACGGACTCCTGTAAACTTAAAATATAAACTTGATTTTGAACTTCCTTGCATCAAAGTAAATTGGGACCCAGTCAACTGGTTATGTGCTTCAATTTGTAAAAGCCAAGAATGCAAAACCCTAAGCAAAAAAAAAAAAAATCTTAGCACATCTTCAAGTTTTCTGCTGGGTCAGCACAAATGGACTTAACCAGCCTTACAAAGAAGTCAACAATCGGAAAGGACAGGGAGTATAACAAGTTGCTTTGCTTCATGTATAAGAGAAACACTTTTAAAAACTGGATATGATAGACTCTTCTTAGCCTAAACCACTGAGATTCGGCCTTTATGGGAACATCTATCTAGGTCCCAGGGGACTCTGGGATGTCTACCAGCAAATACAGCTCTTTCTTTCATTTCTGCACGAACAATGCACTAAACAGAAAAAGCCAAGAAAAAAAAAAGCTTCTTGAATGCCAAGAAGCAGTATTCATTCAACTTGATAGGCAAATTTCTATAAGCAGAGTTTGTGTTTAGGTATTCTAGCTAATGACATGGTCCAGCGTGAGAAAAGTATGAACTCGGCACTCTTCTCCCAAGACTGGTGAAGAATGGTCCTCTAGTTTTGCTTGTTTTAGTGACCCCAAAAAGAAGAGGCAAGTGGTTGGCTGATGTGGAACAGGGAAGAGCTGGTCAACTCAACAGAGGAAAAATCACCACTCAGGTGTATCAGAATATCCAACTAACATCCACGCAGGTTTACTGGATCTAGGCTCATCAGTTTGTTCACACAGCAAAGAAAACAGTGTTCATCAGACTCCAGACTTCTAGTATTTTGTGCCAACACACACATACACATCCAAAAAACAAAACCCTAGGATTCCAAAATAGCATTTGGCCGAAATATCTAATTAAATGCTTGTGCATGATAACAGTTTAGTAATAAAGTATGACTCCAATTATTTTTAAAAACGATGTTCTGTTTTGTGTGTGGGGCGGGAGATGATTATGTCTTTTATTTCTCTCTTCCTACAATCAATAAGAAGTACTACTAATATGAGTGTAATTTAAAAAATTATCAGAGTGCAAAGTTCACGGAAAACAGAATTCCAAGGTAGACTGATTTTGGTGCACAAAACTGTAAGATCCAGGCAGAGTACTCTCATGACTACGTAAAGATCTCTTGTATACATAGATTTTAATTTCATTTTTACACAAAGTTACTTTTGAATTTCACCTTCCACAAACTTTCCCAAGTCCCTTTGAATTTACAAAGTACATGGTATGTGTGTGGCCACAAAGACAAAGGTGGCCATTCTCTTCTTTTCTCATCGAAGAACCTTGCCTCACTTCTAAATGAGAGAGCCCTGTAACACATGAAGCAAGTGGATTTCATCTGTAATTCAAGCACCTTGTATATGGGTGTGAATGGCTTGCTTGGGAGGGCTCAGTTTAGCAACCCGGTGCATTGAGGCTGGAGAAGCTAGGATGGAAGGGTAGAATCTTGAGGCTCAGCTGCACTGACTTCCTTTTCCTGGAGAAGGTTGAAGTTCATTCACCAGGGAGAAGCGTGTGTGTGGCTCTAGAAGACAGAGGCACTCTGGGACGAGTGCCAGCATCTCCTCTGAGTGTTGGTGCCCATGGGCCCTGCTGTGGCTGGAGATCCAGGTTCCATACCTCCCAGGCACTAACCAGCAAAGTGTGGGGCTGGCAGTCCCTGAGGAAGGACAGAAAGCCAAGTCAATGTTGTTCTGAGACTATCGGTCATAAGGACTTATTCTGATCTTGAATCCTAAACATAACGGATAGGCAGTGAAAATAGCATTCCTGCTGAATGCTCCTATGTCAGTCATTTGAAGATTTTCTGTGACTAAAACATCCTATTAATACATCATATAATATCTGTTACAGAGTCAATGAATGGAATGATTTTAAACCTCAGGGCTGATTTAGTAAAATAGACAAAAACCTAATGACCCAGAAGGACCACAGGGAAGGCTGCTAGGTGTGGTGTGGTGTTCGGCACACACTGGATGCCCCACACACTAGGTGTTATTATTTTGAAATCCTTTTAACTAAATCCATTTTCTTCTCCAATTTATTTTGGCCAAAGAAGCTCTATTTTGAGCACAATGCTAAAATAATCTCAGTGTATTGTAAGTCTGTAGAAATGAGTCATGGATGTTCATTAAATCAAAGAGAAAATGTTCTTCTCTTTGGGGTGCTATAAGTAATCATTCTGGCTTTCCAGCAAGATGAACCCTGACTCATTAGCTTCAGTTCCAGCCACAATACTGTATTCATCAAGAGATGGGGGTTTGCAGAAAGGTGCATTTATAAACAAGGTTAAAGTCAGAGGTTTGTTTCCCAATTTATTAAAATAACTAGCAAACTCTCTTCAAAAGCATGATTAATCAAGGCTAATCCAGACCTGATGTTTTAAAAAAGATTTATTTGAAAGACAGAATTACAGAAAGGGAGGCAGAGACAGAGAGCTAGCTCTTTGGTCTGCTGGTTTACTCTCCAGATGGTTGCAACTGCTCGAGCGGAGCCAATTAGAAGCCAGGAGCCAGCAGCTTCTTCAGGTCTCCCACAGGGGTTCAGGGGCCCAAGGCCTTGTGCTGAGCTCTGCTGCTTTCCCAGACACACTGCTAGGGTGCTGGATTGGAAGTGGAACATCCAGGAGTTGAACTGGTGTCCATATTGGAAGCTGGTGCCATAGGTAGGTGGTTTCACCAGCTTTGCCACATTGCTGGCTCTATTTTTTTTTTGGTCCCATCTTTGGTGGAGACAGGGGATTAAAAGATGGGAAAACCTTCCAAGATGATCCTAAACTATTTTGGGGTCTCCTAAGGCTCTGAAAAAAGACAACAGCTGTTGTTCTTAATTCTCCTAAACATATGTGTGTGAATTCATATAGGTAGATATAAAAGATTTAACTGTAAAGCATAAAGTTTATTTACTTTTTTTTTTTAAAGATTTATTTTTATTATTTTTTCATTGGAAAGGCGGATATACAGAGAGGAGAGACAGAGAGGAAGATCTTCTGTCCGATGATTCACTCCCCAAGTGAGCACAACGGGCCGATACTATGCCGATCCGAAGCCAGGAGCCTCTTCCGGGTCTCCCACACGGGTGCAGGTTCCCAAAGCTTTGGGCCGTCCTCGACTGCTTTCCCAGGCCACAGGCAGGGAGCTGGAAGGGAAGCGGGGCTGCCGGGATTAGAACCGGCGCCCATATGGGATCCCGGGCGTGCAAGGTGAGGACCTTTAACCACTTGCGCCACCGCGCCGGGCCCAAGTTTATTTACTTTTTTAAAAAAAATTTATTTTTATTGCAAAGTCAGATATATATAGAGAGGAGGAGAGACAGAGAGCAAGATCTTTCGTATGATGATTTACTCCCCAAGTGACTGCAACGGCCAGTGCTATGCCAATGTGAAGCCAGGAGCCAGGAACTTCCTCCAGGTCTCCCACGTGAGTACAGGGTCCCAAGGCCGTGATTTGTCCTCGACTGCTTTCCCAGGCCACAAGCAGGGAGTTGGATGGGAAGTGGAGCTGCCGGGATTAGAACTGGCACCCATATGGGATTCCGGCATTCAAGACGAGGACTTTAGCTCCTGGCCACCGTGCTGGGCCCTGTATTTACTTTAAAAGTAGAAAACATGAGGACTCCCACTGACATTGAATCAGTAAGCGTGGCCAACAGACCTCATTGGATTAAATCTGCCACATATTTTCTAATTCAGCACCCATCCTCCCAGGCCACCTATGCATGTCACAGAGAGGTTCTGCTTAGATGACAGCCATCATTCATTTGCTTCCCCCAAACTAGGCAGGTATTTGACAGGTGAGTGAAAAAAGAAGTGGGGGGAGGGCAGGTAGAGGTCTGAGCTGATGGATTAATCTTATTGTACCAAAAGACTCCAATAAAGGGATGGCCGAAGCAGATACTGGACGCTCAGTCTTCATTTTTAATAACTTTTATGTAGTTTTCAATGTGTAATTGTTTTATTTTTATTCTTAATTATTTCTAAGGACTAAGTAATCAAAAAAGATAACGAGATGAAAAGTGCTGGGTGAAATTTATTGTCTTCATGATTTCCACATAGTAATTAATCACACCAAAGGATAAACATCACTGCTAAGATGGCCATAGATAGCTTTGGAGATAAGTGGTCCCAGTGCAGTCACAACAGCGTTCATTCCACTTGGAAATGCGATTCTTGATTGGTAATGGTTTTAATCTTTTCTTTCCCCAGTCCCCAAGGCTTGTACCATTTGGTACAGATTCTTTTGCTATTTCTTTCTTTCTTTTTTAATCCTCAGGCACATCATGTTCATCAATCCCTAGGAAATGAATGATGAAATCAACCAGAAAACCCTGTGACAGCAAAGCACATTTCCACAGAGATAAATTTGGTGAGCTTGTTACAGTTTGATTCTGTTTAGCTATCAGGCCTACACATGAAACAATACTAACAAATCCCATTTGTTGGAGCATTTCATCTCTTTTAAAGTATTTCCCACATTGTGTGTGTGTGTGCAATGATTTCATTGATTTCTTTGGTTTTAAACATTATAGCTCTGTTTGACCTAAATATATAGAGTTCTGTTTACAGCAAATATGAAAAACAATCAAGACAATTATAATTTTAAAAGGTAAAATTGGAAATTATTGCTTCCATATAAAAATGCTCCACCCATTTGGGTACGATTCAGAGTATTGCCTTGTTCATATTGAAAAACTACCCTGAAAATCGAGGATGGTAGCCCGGAGCTCCCTGCTGAATTATCATCTTATTGTGCATTATTGTCTATTTAGTATGTCCCTACCTGCACCAACTCTATCCTGATCTTACCCTTAAAAATAAAAGACAACACAGTGTGAAACAGCATAAATAAATAAGTTTACCTAATGGGATATAGTAATAAATAGGCTACTGGATAGGAATAAAGAGTATTGTAACATAAAGCCCTTCTAGTGTGGTACAATCACAGAATGGCTTTGGATTTTAAAGGTCTCCAAACATGGCCTTTGTTCTCTGACATGGTTTTAGTGCTGGTAAGCAGCTGATAGGGAAAGAGAAGAACACACTTCTGTGGTTCTTGATTACTTAAAGATGAAAACAGTCGATACAGAGAGCCTGCCTTTAGGGGATTTACCTGGTAGGTACCATCATCAGATTTTGGCCTTAGCCTCTAGAACATACGTCTAAGCGATTTAGAAACATAAAATCACAATATTCTTTCCATTCTTAGTGGTTTCTTGGTCTCCAGAATAGTGATGAGAACAGAAGGAAAACTTGGGCTCAGAAGTTTTGCTGCCTTCTCTTCTTGGCATCCATGGCATCCAAAATGGGCTGCCTCTTGGCAGTGTATCGCTGACGAAGCTCTTCGATTTCGCGTTCCATCATGGGGTCCAGCGCTTTTAACCGCATCTGCAGCTCTTCCAAACTCAGATTTTTTAACTAGGCATAGAGGAGAACAAAGATATTATTAGAGCAGTACTATCTAAAAGACGTCCAAGCCCTGTGAGCTTCAGCATGAATGTCTCAGCTGGTTCTTTACATCAGTTTTGAAGTGTGGTTCAACCTCAGACAGGAATCCATTCCCAGAGGAACCCAGAAGCCAGAGCCTATAAGAATCTCAAGTCATCTACAGCAACACAATCGAAACCTCTGCTTCTGGGAAACAGCAAATGAGAAAAATAAGCTGGTGAAATGTTATCTGTTGAAAAATAAATAAATAAATTACAGAGGCAAACCCACCAATAAACACCAAGCTGCTGGGATGGGCTTCCCGGCTCGCATGTGGGCTGGGCCAACGGGAACCAAGGGTGGGGTGCCAGGCTTTCACTGTGCCCACCTCAGGGTAGGTGGCAGGTGGGTGGGGTTGATGGTGGGCAATCCTTTCCTGGTCTGCTGTGTGACAGCAAAGGAGCATTTTCCTGTCATGTGAGTAAAGGGGGCTACAATCCATTCTGTGACAGAACACAAATGATGGCATTTTGCCAAGCTGTGCTGAATTTATTTCTTTGTCAAAATAGCAAGATGTGGACTGTCTCCTGAGAAAAGTGTTTTAGGGGTGTTGTGTGAGGGCTCAAGGGACGTCCTGAAAATCATTTCCGAACACACTGACTTTTCCTTATTAACATTAAAAAAATTTAAATCGTTTCTTTTCAAAACTGATTGCTAAAGTAGTGGTAGCAGGCAGGCAAGTGGAGTTTTACACAAAGCCTGCAGAGACCTTGCTGATGTATGGCAATCTATCCAGAGACCCAGATGCAAGCTCCAAGGACAGGGCTAGAGGGACAAAGGCCTAAGGGCAAACCCAAGAATTTGTTCCCCCAGGAGACCCCACTGCCTGGACAGAACACAGGAGAGACCTGCCTGGCCATGCAGGCGCCCCTGGGGACCACATCTGTGGCTTTCACTTTTGCTTTTAGTAACACACTCCCCTACAAAGAGATTCCCTTTCAGAAACTGGAATCGGGCTGGCCCTTCTAGGAGAGGGCTAGGAGTGGGACGCAGGGCCTGGAGGCCACTGGGGGTATCAGCAAACAGAAGCCTCACGGCTCCAGAGAAGGGGGGGTCTCTCCCAAAAGCCTCTCAGGGGCCTCGGTGGAGCCCAGGGAATCAGGGGGCTTCCAGGTCTAGACACCTGGCAGCTATGGTTAATTCTTGAGGAGGAAAGTTATGTAAGTGAAAAACCATACTCGGCACTGAAATGATGAAATTTTCAGCTTATTTTCTGTTTTAAGAAGGTAACTGTCTTTAGTTATTTCGTGAATCAGGCTAGAAGGCACTCTCATTACTTGCAGCCATTAAAAATAGCAAGTGGAAACAACATTTCTCAGCTCATCTTCCACTTTACTCACCATACCTGGCCCCAAGTGACTCCTGCTTCCAAAATCCAAATCCACTCTCAGATGGATGAGTCACAGCCTCTGAGGGAAACTCGAAAGAGGAGTTCCAGAAATATGGTGGGGCATGGCAATGTTCCGGGGAGCACGCGCTGGCTCCTGGGAGGGAGACCCTGAGGCAGATACCCTTCTGGGGTGTATGGCAGCTCTGGTATGTGTGAGATGAACCCTGCTGTGTTTTAGTCAAATGTCTTAAAAAAACAGAGTTTTTACTTTTATAATATGTTACAATGCAAGTTATATCATAGACTGTAGTATTATATAATACTACTTCTTAACGTTGGATTGCAGCATTAATCATGCACCTGTCATATGCACAATATTATTCAAATCTCTGTAGAGGCAAGAAAAGCCAGTAGGAGCCCTTGAAACCCGGAACTACATCAACAAGCGATGTCAAGTTGAAGGGTCAGCATGGACCACAGGGTCTTTCATCCTCAAGGAAGACAGGCCCAACTGCACCTGCACAGGATCCCACTCCGCCTCTGAGGTCTTTTAGACACCATCTTCACTCCAGCCCATGCTAATCCTTTCCAGCCTTGAATTTCCAATGTAATACTGCCATGGTTTGAATAGGATATCACTCCTGAACCATACAGAAGTTTGTCATTTAAACCCCAAAGCCTCACACCAATGGTAGTAAGAAAGTGGAAACTTATGGTGTTTAGAGGTGGAGCTAGGGAGGCGCCCTTAGCCAGTGGAGGGCATGCTTGTAAGGAGGTAGTTGTTACAACAAGGCTGCTTATAAAAGCCTCTGCTTACTCTCTGCTTTCTTGGCCTTGAGATTGCTCGGCTATTGCCATCCTCCGGCCTTCCTGGGTGGCCAGAGGGGCCCACTGGATTGGAAACCGTGAACCTCTAAAATCAGGAGACAAAATAAACATCCTTGCCTCCTAAGTAGATTTTCTCAGGTGTTCTGCTGTAGTGACAAAAAGCTGATATAAACAATATTTAGTTTAAATAACACAACTTTGTATTTGATTCTAGAATTATATTTTGTACTTTCATGGTCCTACTCTAAATATTCCCAAATTATTTAGGATTCAGATACCGTACACACGTCTAGACCCATATAACTACACAGGTAAATAATATGGCATGAAGGTGGGCTAACAGCAGTACGAACTAAGGATGCAAATGAATAAGCTACGCTATGATTAGAAAAAACAAAGCCCCAAAAGAACAAATAGTTATCATCATTTTAAAATTGTTTGCATTAAGATAGTCCTACAATGATCTGGATTATCTTTACTGGGGAAATTGCCAGGAGTTTTTAAATATTACATTTAGAAAGGGGCTAAACTCGGGGAAAAAAAACTTCTTAGAAGAACAATTTTCCTCTTCTAGCAGACTTCTGTTTCAATATGAAAATCCTGAGAAAATCAGCTATGTGGTACTGGAAAGCCATTACTTAGCATTGCTAAAGAACCAGAGATCCCACGTAAGTAAATCAACGAGGAACTTAAATCTTAGCTTTCTTTTTAGAGAAAATGGAGAAGAGGAGGGATGAGGGCAGCACTAGGAGAGCCTTCTCTGTTGGCTGGCCAACTCTGCAGGATTTGGCTTCAAGCGTGGCTGGTAGAAACGCCCCTGACACTACTAATAAGGTAGGGTGGTGAACAAGATGGCCTTCCAGCCAAGGGAGTTTTAAGGCCAGTGTAGTGACATCAGATATGGATTCTAATTTATGTTTTTGAAAAGCCAGAAAAGAGATCAAAGCTACGGACAGACACTTGGGGGATGCTTGGCACTCAGACTGTGCCTGCAGCCCTTGAAAGGGGAGGGCTATCTGGGGAAGAAGGGTTTCACTCTGATCTTACATTCTGCTTGTGGGGTCCAAACACAAACCATCAGTATTTATCGCGAGAAGCTCTCCTTAACTCTGTTAACAGGACAGTAACGGCCACAGGTTTCTACACTGTTTTAGATTATGGTGCTGTGAGCACACACAAGCTTAACTAGTGGAATTTTTCACTTTCTAGATAATGATTATGATTTATAGATATAAACTGCTGGCTCGGTTTTGATCTCCAAGTAAGCCCTAATAATACATATTTAGTCCTCGGTATTTCTGTAATTATTAAATTTTCCACAGGCCTAAAAATGCTTTTGGGAGGGAAACTTGGTGAGATGGCTTTTCTCAGAAAACACATTTTCTCAATGTCTCAGTAGTAAGAAGATACACAAAACAGAATTTTATAGATTCATAATGATAGAAATGGTTCTGTAATATCAAACCATCTACTATCAGCCTTTTAAAATACTGTTCCAAACGGGAAAAGTCTTGTGGGCTCATGAATATAATACCAGAAGGAAATGTGGAGTTTCTTATTATTGTTGTGACAAGGTATCATTCATCAAAACCAAATTTGCTGAAACGTGGAAAAGGAATTTTTGTTTGAGTCAGTAAAACCTGTGCTAAATCAATCTGAACCTACATGTTTTCTAGCATAGGAAAAACAATTTTGTGAGACAGCTTTCTCCAATGCATAAAAGCCAGCATAGCTGTGTTACTGTAGCTATGTGTCAGATCCCTGATTCTAAAATAAATGCAGAGCACAACTTGAGTTAGACTAACCCATTTGGGCTGCATTTGTCAGAGTACAGAACCTGGTCCATCACGTCAGTGAAAACATGAACTGAGAATATGCAGCCCAGGGGCGGGCATTTGGCACAGGTGGATGCCCACATCCCACACTGCCGTGGTTAGGCTGAAGTCCTTACTTTCCTTTTGGATTCAATTTGCTGCTATTTAGATAAGATTGACACATCCTTTAATGCTTACCCAATTGAGGAAAGCAGGGATAGGCGTTTGGCCTTGGGGGTACCTGCATCCTATGTTGGAGTACCATGCCCTGGCTATCCTGCTTCTGATGCAGCTCCCTGCTCATGTGTACCCTGTAAGGCAGCCACAGATAATGGCTCGTGTACTTGGTTTGAGCTACGGGCTCCTGGCTGCTGCCTGGCCCAGCTCTGATTGCTAGGGGCACCTGGGCACTGAACTCAAGCAGACAGAAGATCTCTGTACATATGTCTTTGCTGTTCTGCTTTTTCAAATAAATTGTAAATAAATAAATAATCAAACAGGAAGCCTCTATTGTGAGTTTTATGGGATGTGAGCAAATGTACAAAGTTGAGTAACTCATCTGGAAAGGTTTTAAAATACATTTTAGTTTAATGCTATTAAAAAAAAATCAGTTTGAATTTAATAATAAAACAGAACCTATGCAACTACTAGGATTCTTAACCCTTCATGCTTTAACACTGGAGAAGAACACTGCAGGCTGGCCATCCTTATCTGTAGGAAGAACACGTCATTGAAGAAATGGCGCTGCACCTGCCAGAGAGGATGAACACACAGCTAGGAGAGGTAAGGGCCTGCAATATGGTCAGACACAGAGCACCAGAGATGAGCTCCTTACACTGCTTCAACATCTGAAGCTTTTTTTTTCTGCTTACAGAACATTTTGTTTTTCCCAGACATTTGAAATGATAAATATCAAGGGGCCATGACATACTAAGAAGGACAGAGAATAAAATCGATTT